CCTGGACAAGTCATTCTCAACCTCTGTCTGCCTCAATTTCCTCACCCATAAAATGAGCATAATAATAATAATAATACGTAACTCCCAGGGTTGTTGTGAGGATAAAATGAGATAATATTTGTAAAACATTTTGTAAACTTTGAAGTGCTATATAAACGTTAGATATGACCTATATGATCCAGTATTACCTTGAATTTGGTACAAGGCAGGCCCTACCACAGAAGCCATCTAGGGAAATTACCAGAAGTATCGGAAAGACTTGCTTCTGCTTGTGACGTGGTACCAGCACGTAGGCTCTAAAGGTGGTTAAGTTCCAGGGAGATGGTTAGTAGCAGTAGGACTTGGGAAACAAACCTGCGTGCATTACCCAGGAGTCGGCTTCGGGAAGGGAAGCATAACGAAGAGGCAGTTTCTTGGTGCTCACCTTCACGGTTTTGCCCGTCATCTGTGTGGGATTTTTCCACTCGTCCGTGCTGTCATATTGATTCTAGTGACACTTCCAAACATCCTCGATTTTGGGGGGATAGATTTGTACTGCTCCGGGCCTGAGAAAGGTCTTCATGAGTTGCATTGGCCAAAACAAAATTCTTTCTTCACCTGCTGATGAACCTCTCCAAACTTAAGTGACAGACATCCGGGCTTATCTAACTTGGTGGTACCTGCCAGAGCTCATGTTCCTCTATCATTGCCTTTAAGAACACAAAGTTCCCTCTCTGTCATATTGAGGCATCTCAAAAAGGCCTCATTGAAAATGGTAGTGAGATAGCAATTAGAAATAGATATACACATACACACACACACACACATACATACATACATACATACATAAAATTTGTCCCCTTAAATCAAAGGATTTGTTCTTTGAAGTTTGGATTCAGTCAAAGTGCCATACTTGAGGACCTAGAGGGCCACATATGGCCTCAAGGCCCCAGGTTCCCCACCCCGGGCTAGACCAATTCACACTTCCCCCCAAAATTTATTAGTGTCCTTGTTTTCCCACGGCCTCTCCATCATTTGTCATTTTCCCTTTTTTGGGTCAACTTTGCCAATATGGTGGGTATAAGGTAATACTTCTGAGTTTTCATATACATGTCTTCAATTATTAGTGATTTAGAGCATTTTTCATATGGCTATTGATAACTTGAATTTCATCCTCTGAAAATTGCCCATTTGTGTCTGATGACCACTCATATACATTTGAATCAGTTCCCTGTATATCTTAGAAATGAGACCTTTATCAGAGAAACCGGCTGCAAAGATTCCCTTCCTCCATCTTCCCCCACAACTTTCCTGCTTCTCTTCTAAGTTTAGCTGAATTGGTTCTGCCTGTGCACAAACATTTTAAATCTATGTTATCAAACTTGTCCATTTTACTTCCTCTAAACCTCTCTTTCTCTTATTTGGTCATGAATTCTCCTTCATATATCTGAAAGGTAATTTCTTCCATGCTCCTCTAATTGGTTTTTTATGTCGCCCTTTATGTCTAAATCATGTTGCTATTTGAAGCGTGTCTTGGTATACAGTTAGTCTAGACCTAGTTTCTGCTAGACTACTGTCTAGATTTCACAGCAGTTTTTGTTGAATAATAAGTTCTTGCCCCAGTAGATGAGATCTTTGGGCTGTTCAAACTAGGATCTTATAATTCTATATATTCTATACACAATATACAATAATACAATATTCTATATATTGTGTATCTAATCTGTTGCACTGATTAACCTCTCTATTTATTACTCAGGACCAAATTCTTGTTATGATCATGACTTTGTAGTGTAGTTTGAGATCAGATACTTTACTGCTAGACCCCCTTTATTCTCACTTTTTTTTTCCGTTAATTCCCTTGAGATTCTTGATTTTTTGTTCCTTTGGATAAATTTTGTTATTATTTTTTCTAATTCTACAAAGTAATTCTTTGGTAATTTTATTGATATGGCACTGAAAAAAAGCAAATTAAGTTGTGCTGTCACTTTTTTTATGTTGGCTTGGCCTACCCAAGAGCAATTAATATTTGTTCAACTATTTAGATCTGTAAAGCTGTTATATGTGTCTTGATAGACTCCCAAATATTTTATACTTTCTATAGTTATTTTAATAAGAAATGGAATTTCTCTTCCTATCTCTTCCTGCTGGGTTTTGTTGGTAATATACAGAAATGTTGATGATTTGTACGGGTTTAATTTGAAGTTCATCTATTTCATTTAGATTATAAGTTTTGTTGGCATATAATTGGGGGAAATAGTTCCTAATAATTTTTTAAAATTTCTTTTCCACTGGTTGTGAATTCATCCTTTTCATTTTTGATACTGGTAATTTGGAGTTTTTTCATTTAGTAAGTTTTGTTAAAGATGTATTTTATTTTTAAAAAATTTTAATTAGGGGCAATTAGGTGGTGCAGTAGATAGAGCTCCAGCCTTGGAGTCAGAAGGACCTGAGTTCAAATCCGACCGCAGACACTTGGCACTTTCTAGCTGTGTGACCCTGGGCAAGTCACTTAACCCTGATTGCCTCACCAAAAAGGAAAAAAAATTTAATTATACTATCTTCAATCAATAGAAATCTACCTTCTCTCTTTCCCATTCTAACTCCTCCCCACCCAAATGAGAATGAAAGAAAAACATTATAAAAATCATTATGAACCTGTGTGGTTAAACAAAGCAAATGTTCATATTAACCAGGTCCCAAAAAATGTTGTCTCGTTCTGGATAGCATTTTCATGTAGAGAGGAAGGTCTGTCATTGTGTGGCTTGAAGAGGGGCAGAATAGACATTTCTAGCCCCTTCTTCTCCAGGGGAGACTTTAATTCCTGGGGGGGAGCCAGAGGTTGGGTCAGAGGTTACCACTCTTGCTCTACTCAGAGAATGGGGCACCTGGCTGGAATTATGCCTATCTGTTCCCTTAAATATTATTAGTTTAGGGGATATGATCGGATGTCATCTAACTTCTGGTCACTTTGTCGTTTGGGAGGAAAGGGAGACACCCAAGATCTATATCTAAGGCTTGACCCATTTCACACTAAATACCAGTTCCCTAAGAACCATTGCAAACTCCCCCTGATTCTGGGATTCCTCCCTGGTTATCACACTGCAGGCTTCAGCCTGAGCAGGAGGCTCGAGCAGAGTCTGTGCTCTGCTCCTGGGGTCAGCACCGCACAGCTACCATTGGCTTCTGACCTTGTTTTCTGATCAGCATACAGCTAATGCCTGCAATGCCTCCTTTTCATCATCCCTTGTAGTGGCCCTCCACGGGGCTGCTAGGCGGCACAGTGGATAGAGCACTGTGCCTAGAGTCAGGAAGACTCATCTTCATGGGTTCAAATCTGGCCTCAAACACTTACTAGCTGTGTGGCCCTGGTTAAGTCACTTAACCCTGTTTGCCTCAGTTTCCCCATCTGTTAGATGAACTGGAGGAGGAAACAGCACACCAATCCAGTATTTTTTCCAAGAAAATCCCAAAAAGAGTTCACAAAGAGTCAGGCCCGACGGAACAACAACAAAGTCAGAGATCTCCTCATCAGTCCACCCTGCATCTGTGACTAGGAACCGGGTCATGACAGCTGCCATGTGGTTCCCTTTGCTGCATGCTGCACTAATGCAGGGACTTCCCAGGACTTCTGCCTGCCCCAGTACTCTTTCAGTACCTGAGTTCCATGTGGGGAGCTGAGCTCTTGACTAACCCTATCCCCAGTATTGGCAAGCCGAGCCTGAATCGGGCTTTCCAACCCACGATCACTGACTGTAAATTTTGTCTTGGGTTTCCCATCAGGTTTCAGTCTGGAGCACTTTCTAGATCTGGCCTGCAGAACCCACCACATACTTACGGCTCCCAGGCAAGCCAAAGGGTTTCATTAGGCCTGGTAAAAATGTAGAGGAAAACATCCTTTGTATGTAGAGGAAATCCTTTGGCACGGACCATAAATGGCCTGCAGGCTGCAGGTTGTGCAGGCCTATTCTGGAACATGGTGGAGGAGGCCTAGTGGAGAGAGAACATTGGCTGTTCTCTGTGGTACTCTCCTATCTCAACTCAGCTCCTTCCCAAGAGTGCTTTTCAGTCCTTGATAATTGTAATTCCTGGATAGGCTGCAGACATTATGCAGACCTAGAATACCCCAAACACCTCTGCAGATTAGTTTCAGCTTCTCTGCCTTTCTCATCATTAAGGCTGGGTCTTCACACTTAGAGCTCCTCAGCAAATTCAGGCAAACTTTTTTCTCATCCTCAACTATTGAGGAAATGCTAAGGAATGAGGTGGAATGGGTTTGTTTGTCTTTAATGAGGTATATACTGAGGCAGTTATGTGAGTAGTTTTGTTTTGTTTCAGAAGGGAAACTAGCAAAGGTGAGGTATGTTAACTGATACATTAATATTAATATATTCATTAATAGATGTTCACATTAACGCATAGTAAAATATATTAATACTTAACTCTGGGTGACCTCATCTCCCCAAAACCCTAAACTATCACCACCTTTATGAACCAACTATAGTCAAGTAAATGATCAATTATGTTAACATTTTGTGATATGCCATTATCCCCTATGGCAGTTTTTGATGTAGTTTCAACTTAGTACTTGGTAAAAGCCTTTGTCTGGAAATCTAAAAAGTTTAAATTCACCTCATATACTGCCCTCTTCCAAATCGAAAACACCATAGAAATGTTTAGATTGTCAAGAGAAATTATGACTGCCTTATCTACAAAGCTTGCATTTAACGGGATTAGAAGCTGGACAAGGCACGATGTTCAATTGGTCCTGTTCTCTTGCGGTCTTTTTCTTGTCCAGGCCCGAAGTTCTGGATGCCTTCTATGTGACCCAGTTCTATAACAAGCTATAGCAAGCGGAGAAGATGACATTGTATTAGCCAATCCAATGTGATCATTTTCTTATAAGCAATTATTATCACTTGTTGGGTCTATAATTCAAAAGTATGTAGGGCATACTTTCAGGTTGTTTTCACTCTAGGGACCAGATTATTCACTATTAAATTATGTTTTTGTTGATACAGAAAGCGAACTGGATTTGTTGTACAGCTTTGCCAAGTGTTCGGGACTGCACCTGATCTTTGGCGTCAATGCCTTAATAAGGAAAAGTAATTTGCAGTGGGACAGCTCAAATGCCAAGTTGTTGTTGAAATATTGCACCTCCCAGAAGTATGACATTTCCTGGGAACTTGGCAATGGTAAGTACAGGGAGCATTTTGTCGATCAAGGAATACTCTTTTTATTTTATTATTATTATTATTATTATTATTATTATTATTATTACATAATGCTTTCTTTTTCCCAATTACATGTTAAGGCAATTTTAAGATTTTTTAAAAAGTTTTGAGTTCCAAATTCTACCCCTCCCTCCTTTTCTCTTTCCCCTCTTCCCCAGGGAGTACTCTTTAGCATCACATAACACAATTTGCTTGATTACAATAATAGCCAGCACTTATAAAGCTCTTTAAAGTTTGCAAAACGCTTTATACATTTTATCCCCACAAAAACCCTGGAAAGAAGGTGCTATTTTTGTCTCCATTTTACAGACGAGGAAACTGAGGCAGGCAGAGGTTTAGTGACTTGCTTGGGGTCACCACACACCACGTAAGTGTCTGAAACTGGATTTGAACTTAGGTCTTCCTGTCTCTAGGTCCAGTGCTCTATCCACTGTGCCGGTCAGCTGCCTATATGATTTTCCTTTCTGTTGGATATAGATGCCTTTTGAAATCACATATTGAAAACAATTCCCCTATATCTTCTTGGATCCACTGCTGAATCCATCTTATGTTCTGCTTGGCTGGAGAATTACTTAGCTGGGGCCGGCAACTTCCACATCTCCTATTTTTAGCAAGTCCCTTTGGTTTTCAGATCTACTCATAGCTGACTTCCAACAAAACGCTTAAGTAGGCAATTTATTTTCAGCCTTCCATCTCCGTTTCTCCTCACTGACACAGCATCCTCCACCTCCTATCTCACCCCCAGCACCTGAAAACCTGAGTACCCTGGTCCTATCCTGCAAGCTCTCTTGGGGTCCTTAGTATAAATCCTCCCTTCCGTTAGGGCCAGATAACATCCCATGCTTTACTTCTCCCCTCCAAAGGAGCATATGCCAGAAAGTCCTGACTTCTGCTAGGGAATTGGTAAATTATTTCTAGATATTGTCTTAATGGTTAGCTTTCCTGTCATAGGCCCAGCCTGATTCGGGTAAGTCCAGTACTTGAATTTGGACTTGGAACAAAATGAAACACTTGCAGTCCGTCTAAGAGTGGAGTCCATCCAAAAAGATGTGTTCTTAGTCACCTTACAGAAAGGGTGCTCAGCAAAGGTACAGCATTGATTTAGTTGAGCATAACTTTCCAACCTCTGTGTTTACCGTGCTGATCTATATGCCTGAGGGAGTTGCTGCCAATTAGCTTTCTTCCTACACCTCTCCTTCCGCTCTCTGACAAACTCCTTGAAAACTCAACGTCTGTTTCCTCTGTTCTCACTCTTTCTTGAACCCATGGCATTTCCAACTTCACCATTCAACTGAACTTACCCTCTCCAAAGTCACCAATAATCTCTTAATTGACAAATAAAATGACTTATTCTCGGTCCTTAGCCTTGACCCCTCTGCTGATAGACCTTGGATTTATAACTGCCCTAGATGACGCTGCTGATTACTTTGTCCTCTCTCATCTCTGGGTTTTTGAGACCCTCCCTCTACCTGTCTGACCATCCCTCCTCAATCTCTTTTGCTGGATCTTCATTTAAGACAGGCACACTAACTGGGTATGTCCCTAAGGCCCTCTCCTGGGCCTCTCGCTTCTTTCCTTTCTGTGCTCTATCACTCAGTGGTCTCATCAGCTCCCATAGATTCAATGATCATCTCTATTCAGACAATTCTGACATCTCTTTATCCAGTCCTCATCTCTCTTCTGAGCTCCAATCCCATGTCTTCAATTGCTTGTTGAACCTTTCAAAATAGATATCCCACGGCCATCTTAAATTCAACATGTCTGGAAAACAAAACTCATTATCTTTGCCTCCAAATCAGCCCCCGTTCTAAACTCCCTTATTATTTGAGGGTATCTCCATCCTCCGTGTCATCTGGGCTCATAACCTTGGTGCTTTCTTCGACTCCTCATTCTCACCCACCCCACGTATCCAATCAGTTGCCAACAATCGTGAAAAAATTGTCCAAGCCTCTAATAATAATAGAAATGCAAATTAAAACAACCCTGGCATTTCATCCCATATTTATCAAATTGGCAAAGGTAATAAAAATTGAGATAATTGATATTGAAAGGTTTTCAGAAGACATGCACAATAATACCCTGATGGAGCTGAGAAATGGTCCAGCAGTTCTGGAAAATAATTTTGAATTATGTGAGAAAAGTCACTAAACTGTTCATCCACTTTGATTCAGTGATCCCACTCCTAAACATGTACATCGAAGATGTCAAAGACAGAAGAGGGGTTCGTGTCTACTAAAATATTAATATTAGCATTTTTTGTAGTAGTTAAAAAAAAAGGAAACTAAGTGAGTGCTTTTCAGTTGGTGAATGGCTCATCAAGTTGTGGTATATGAATGTAACGGAACACTCTTTGACTTGCCCAGGGTCAGACAATTAGTAAGTGTCTGAGTGTGGATTTGAACTCAGATCTTCCTGACTTCAGGCCCAGCTCTGTATCCACTGCACCACCTTAGCTGCCTCTCAGAGAGGAGATAAGGAGAGATATTTCACAACTCTTGATGGCAAAGTGAGGGACTATGGATGCAGAATGTTGCTTAAGCTATCAGATGCAGTCGCTTTGTGGGTTAGTTTTGCCTATCTACTTTTCTTTGTTATAAGAGAGGGCTCAATGCCAGCGGGGAAAAGGTAGTAGCAGATGCCTGTGGTTAAAAAAAAAAATTATACTGCTTCACATTTATCCATTATATAATGTGGACAATCAGAGTAACAATTGTAATGAACTTTAGGTTCATCTACTCCAGCCACACACACACACACACACACACACACACACTCATTTTCTTTACAGATAAAGGACACTTTGGGACCTCAGAAAGGTTTAAACATGACCAAGGTCGCAAAGTCAGTTGGTGACCTAATTAGGAAGAGGATACAGGCTTCCTAATTTGTTGTCTCATGCTCTTTCCACCACCCAATATCCTGATATGAGTACATATTATGTTCTCAGGTTGCATAGGCCAGTCATGGAAGATGTAGGCCCCAAGTCGATTTGTAATGGCCCAAGCCAGGAGTGACAGACATCAGATCACATTCCTTGGAAGATGGAAAAACGGATGAAATTTAATTGAGCACTTCCTCTCCTCCCTTTTCCCCATCTGTCCAAAAACTTCCCATTAACTCCCAGACATTAGTACTTACATGCAATTCTGATTGTCTAAGTAAAAACACTTCCATAGTGTAAGGTTGATTCAAAAGACTTTCCAAATAGCAAACTTGTGAGGGACGTAGTCTTCTTTTATCCCTATAAGGAAAATGGGACACAGAACCTAGGTCCCAGTGTCTGAGCTAGAAATGGAACCTTGGATTTCTGATTTGTTCTGATTTCACGTCTGGCATTCTTCCCAAAGATATTTTGATATCCCACCACATCACTTATTCCATGTGTCCAATTTGGCTTTTTAATAAATTTTTTCCAACTAATAACTGTTAATTTTCTCTTGCTCCTTTTCCCCCATTCAAAAAAAGAAAAAGAAAAACAAAGCCCTTGTAACAAATGGTCGAGCAAAACAAGTTCCCACATTGGGCAAGACCAAACATATATGTTTCATTCTACACGCGAGTCCATCACCATTCTGTCAAGAGGTGATAGAATATACCCTTTGATGCAGAGATGCCACTACTAGGTCTATACCTTAAAGAGATTGAAAAAAAAGAGGAAAAGGACTCATCTGCACAACAATATTCCTAGATGTTTTGTGGTGGCAAAGAACAAGAACCTAAGGGGATCTCCATCATTTGGGGGAATGGCTGAAAACAATTATGATATATGAATGTGAAGGAATACTGTAAGAAATCATGAAAAGAATGGTTTCACAAGAGCTTGGGAAGACTTGGAGAAATTGATGCAAAAGAAAGTGAGCTCTGAGAACCAAGAAAAAATTTATCCCTCCCCCCGAAAAATTACAAAACACAAATAACTTTGAAAGATTTAGGAAATCTTATGACACATGACCAAACATGGCTCCAGAGGAACAATGCTGTATACTACCCCAAATTAACTTTTCAGCCCTCTGACTGCCCTTAATTTATTGAACCCCAAAACAATCAAACTCATGCTTCAGGCCAATCTGATAGCTAGATGACTGAACTCAATTTTGACTGTATTATAGATGTTAGGTATGAAATCCACAGAGATTAGGTTTCATCCTTTTAAAGAGTTGATGCATTTTTGAATAGTAGTTTTTAAATTCAAATTATTTCCCATTTCAAGGAGATAAGAAAGCCCTTCTATTCCCCAGTTTTCCCTGGCGTTACATTGGATTTCACAGGTAGGTAATGTTTTCTTTGTTGTGTTACAACTGTTTTAAAGAGAATATAATCTGCTTTAGAATCTAGAAATCATCTCATCTTGATGGAAGATACCCATTTTGGAGATTAGCAGTTACGTATGGAGAATTGTTGTCTTTCAGAGCCCAACAGTTTCAGGAAGAAATCTGGCATGTATATTAATGGGTCCCAACTAGGCAAAGACTTCATTAAATTTCATTCACTTCTAAAAAGATATGATTTAAGAAATGCAAAACTCTTTGGACCCGATATTGGTCAACTTCGGAACAAGAGTGACAAGTTGCTAAGGAGGTAAGAAAGGCTTTTTTTCTTTTTTACCTAAAAGAGGCAAAGGCCCAGGTTCAGGCTGGTGCCACTATTTGCTAGAAGTAAGAAGGCTTTTCTTTTTGTAGGGAGCACAGGGGTGGCCTCCACTATATTGGAGCTGGAGGAAGTGAGAAGCAAATGGGAATTCCCCCTCAGTTAGAAACTTTGCTGAAGTGGGACAGTTGAGGTGGGGCCAGGCTTTGGCAAGTATACAGGGGGGTGTGGTGCCTTTACCAGAGATCTCCAGGGAATCATCGTCATAATAACTAACCTTAATACAGGGTGTCTGTCCCCAAATTCCTCGTGCCCTTTTAAGCTATTGTTCGCAAAGTACTTAAAAATACCATCTCGTTTGCTCTTCACAACCCTGGAAGGGAAGTACTATTATTATCTCCATTTTACAAATGAGGAAACTGAGGCAAACAGAGGTTAAGTGACTTGCCCAGGGTCACTCAGATAGTGTCAGAGGTTGGATTTGAACTCAGGATTTCATGACTCCAAGTCCAACACTCCATGCACTGTGTACCACTTAGCTGCCTCGATACCTCTGGAATATCCTGGATTCTATTTCCAGATTTAATAACCAGGTTACTGACTGGGTTTGTTAATAAATATCATTAGAAACCAATACCAGCATTTCCATATGCGGACTGAGAAGTGACATAACGATGGCTATTTGTTTTTAGCTTCCTGGAAGTCGGGGGAGGAGTAATTGATGCAGTCACGTGGCATCAGTAAGTATATTTTCTGTTCTTAAAACTATTTTAAAAAGATTGCTAGTCATCTGTGATCCTAATTTTTTATTCTATATTTCATATAGAAAAGTTGCTTCTACATTTATTTTTAATAATTTTTTTATTTTCCCTAATTACACGTAAAAACAATTTTTAACATTTTTTAAAAGTTTTGAGTTCCAAATTCTATCCCTCTGTCCCTCCCTTACTCCTTCCCTGAAATGGTAAGCAATCTGTTATAGGTTATACATGTGAAATCATGTGAAATATTTCCATATTAGTCATTTTGGCTTCCACACTTATTGAGCACCTACTGTCTGCAAAGTACTGTGCTCAGTGCTAGCGATGTTTCCATGACCCCACACACCCCTCGTGTAAATCTGCCATGGTGACCACATCGGCTGTCCTCTATGCCTTTTCGTATTGTATGGGTACCTGGTGCAGCACCTTGGCTTAGGGGGAAGATGAAGGTTATACACTCTCCAAGGGCAGGAGCTACGTCTTTTGTTTCTACATTCCCTTCATTTCCTGAGGGTCTGTCGTCCCCTCCCAGATCTATTTTTTTTTTTTGTAAGAGGCCATTCTTTGTCTCATTTTTAAAGCCTTAATCACTAAGTGGGTGCTGCCTCAGTCAAACTGAGTCCTGTTAAAGACCTTAGCTTGAAAAGGCCATCCTGGGCCATCTCCCATTGTCCTGATCCATATCTGGCCACTGCACCCAGATGAACTCCAGAGGAGAAAGTGAGGCTGGTGACTTTGCACAGTCCTCCCTCACTTAAATCCAATTCACTTGTATGTCATGGCATCACCTCCTTGATGTCATGGTCCTCTTCAAGCACGTAGGACAGACAGCAGCAGCAGCACCTTCATTTCCATGGACAGCCCTCCTCCCTTTCCCACCCCGAGAACCATCCCCCATAGCAAAGAATCAAAAAGAAAACAAAGCAGTTAAGCCAGTCAGTGGAATCTGAGAGCGTCTTCAATGTTTTGTACCCAGAGTCCCCACCTCCAAAGAGAAAAGGAGGAGGTTCTCATCTGCTGTTTGGAGGCTTGTGCCTCCAATTTAGTTCTGTATCTTCCTCTGTGCCTAGAATGGTGCCTGGTACAAAGCAAGCAAGTAATAAATGTTTGATAAATGAATAAATGATTAATGAATTTAACAATCATGAGGCTAGTTGAGATAAATGTGCTACTCAAGCCCAAAAGGACGCCCTGTGGCTTGGCTGGTCATACAGAGATGGCCAAATTAGGAAGAAAATTATGAAATGCCCCTGTTCTGATATTGAGTAGTAGGGTAAGCATGGCTGGTTTCCATAAAAATAAAAATATCTCTACTTTTTAAAAAATCTATGTATATTACATGTATGTGTGTGTATTGCAGCTACTATATGGATGGACGAAATGCTACCCAAGAGGATTTTTTAAACCCTAAAGTGTTGGATACATTTATTTTCTCAGCACAACAAATTTTACAGGTACTTTTTTTTTCTATTATAGAACAAAACCAAAACAAAAGTCTGTATTTTGTAGACTTGCATGTTCTAAATTTATTGGTTGAAAAAGCAGATTTCCCACAAATCAAGAAACATTTCCAGCAGTGCTATCAGATGGCTGACTAATACACTCATAGGTCAGATTTCCCCCGATTCACTGCAAAAACAAGGTCCTCAGAGAGTCTTTGTTCCTCCTGAATGCATGATTGAAGAAAAGTTAGGGAGGGGTTAGCACTGCCATGCCTGCAGATGCCATCTGTAGAGCCAGACCCTCTGTCGCTGTCTCCACATTTCTGAAGGGCAGTCTCGTTGGAAGGGGGATTTAGGCAGCTGCGTTCCATAGTGGATGGAAGGGTGGGAAGTCTGACTTCTAGCTTCATGATCCTGACCAAGTCATTCATCTTCTCTAAGCCTCAGTTTCCCCATCCACGTGATGGCGATAATAATGGCACCTACTTCCCAGGGCTGTGAGGATAATATTTGTAAAGTGTCTGCAATCCTTAGAGCGCTATCGAAATGCTACCATCACTATCATCATCATCATTAGACATATTCTTCCCTCGGAGTGAAAGCAGAGAGACAGAGTAAGGAAAAAACAATTAGATACATCAAGAAAAAATGTAATGGACATACAAAGGAAGACACTGTCCGCATCTAGAAAAGAACTGATAAATAGAAGTATGTATAGAAAGATTTTACATATATATAGATGTAGATATTTATGTCTAAGAGTAGCCATCTCTAGGTGGGGTGGGGCGGGGAGAAAGAAAGGGAAAAAAGAAATTTACATGGTAACTTTACATTCAAAAGGAATAACAAGCTGTACATAATAGATTTGCAGTTTTATGTACAAACTTTTTTAAAAAAATTATTGTATTGTGTTATGGAAGTGCTTGTTTTATTCCATAAATTAAAAATAAAATAAATAAAATTTTTGAAAATGTAGTGGGCTCCCTCAAGGGGTTTGGAGGGTTCCTTCTGGATGGAGAGAAATAGCAAAACCAGTGGTCAGATAAGATGTAGAGGGCACTGGTCCAGATACTATTTGTCAGTCAGTCAGGAAGCAAGCTGTGATTAAGCACCTGCTATGAGCTGGGCCCTGTGCTAAGGAGCTCACGGTCTGTGGTTCAGTCTTCATTCTCAGAGAGGACCGATGACATCACGAGGGTGATATCTTGACTTGCACAGGAATTGGATTTAAGTGAGGCAGAGCTGCCCCAAGGCCTCTCTGCTCCACAGTCATCTGGAGTCCATGGGGTGCAACGGATGACCTTGGCCTTTCTAAGCGATTTCAGTTGAGTGATAAGCTGAGAAGACCGATTGATGAGGAAGACGATATGCAAGACGCTAGGTACAAACAAAATCTAGACGGGATAAATTAGAGATCGTTGCAGAGAGAAGGCTCTAGCATTAAGGGGGATCAGGAAAGGCTTTATGAGAAGGTGGCATTTTAGCTGGGACTTGAAGGAAACCAGGGGAGCCCAGAGGGAGAAAGAAGAGGATTACCTCTGATATTCTTTTCCACTTTAGGATTCTATAGTTCTAGGGAGGAAGAGAATTTGGAACTCAACATAAAAATACATTTTTAAAAAATATTCCATAATTCTGTGATTCTGTAATTATATCCTGGGTTGTACCACAAGTTTCTTTACATTCTCTTTCTCCCCATTCCCTAGTAATGGAATGAAAGTAAGTAGTTTACAAATAAAATTATCCCAAAGCATATTATTTTCAGAATATTTTTTTTTCTGACAGTGTTATAAGCAATGTTTCTGAAAAGCCTGCAATTCACGATGGTAGAGCTTACGTAATGTGCCACAGGGATGTGTAACGTCACAAGTCATATACCCCAGCTATTTTTATTTGCAATCACCATGTGGACTTTTCTGCTCTGTAGGTCGTGAAGGAGACCAGGCCCGGCAAGAAGATTTGGTTGGGAGAAACTAGCTCAGCTTATGGAGGGGGGGCTCCCAAGCTGTCTGACACATACACGGCTGGTTTTCTGTGAGTATGGCAATGCTCATCTCAGGTTACAGACACCAACCAGGTTGCTAATCACACTATGTCCCCACACCTACCCATTGCGCCAAAAAAGCCTGTACAAAGAATGCCCTTTATGGTGGAGGATGATACAGTGGCTTTAATCACAGATTTGGGTGAAGACAAGGGATTCACTGTAGCCAGTGCTTTGCACGTTGTATAGACTCAAAGATTGTTAGTTACGACAAGAAGAAAATCCAAGCTTTTCAAAATTTTTGTACTTTAGCTTATGCCATATATAAGCAAAAGATTCATTCCTCTAAGTAACTGCACTTAAAAATAGTGTATCTAAGAGTTTTAAATTTGAGAACATTGCTTATAATATACACACACATACACATATATATGGTATATACAGTGTATATATGTATATAGTATATATATACATGCAAGTGTATGGGTGGGTAGATATATACACACACATATATATACACATGTATATGTATATATGTGTACGCACACACATGCACATATATATGGTATATACAGTGTATATATGTATATAGTGTATATATACATGCATGTGTATGGGTGGGTGGATATATACACACACATATATATATACACATGTATATGTGTATATGTGTACACACACAGACATGCACATATACATATACACACACAGAGAGAAGTTCTATGCCTGTCAGGTGCTGGGCCAAAAAGTGCCTTCTCTGGAGGTAAGGGAAGGAAATAAACATTTTTTAAAAACCATTTTCAATTCCTAATTCCCTTTCTTTAGGACCCTCCCCCACCCATTGAAAAGCAAGAAATACAATACTCTTTATACATGTGAAGTCATGCAAAATACATTTCTACATTGGCCACGTTTTAAAAGAAAAAATAAAGTGAAAGAAATTATGCCTCCATCTGCACACAGAGTAAATAAGTATTTATTAAGTGCCTATTATATGCTAGACACTTTACTAATATTATCTCATTTGATCCTCACAACAACCCTGAGATGTAAGTGCTATTATTATCCCCATTTTACACTTCAGGAAACTGAGGCAGTCAGCAGTTAAGTGACTTGCCCAGGGTCATGAGTTAGTAAGTGTCTACATTTGAACTCAGGTCTTTTTCTGCCTCCAGGGCCAAGATTGCCTACTGCTCTGCCTGTAGAAGGGTTAGGAGCCCAGGAGCCCAAGTATTCTCTAAGAGACCAACCCAGAGGTCATAGTGTGATGGCTGACAAAGAACAAGGAATCACAGAATCACAAAGATTAAAGCGGGGAGGGGCTTCCGCGGACACCTACTCCAACCCATACATGAAAGGATATGATATTTTTAGCAAGGGATTCTCCAGGTTCCCCTGGAAGACCTCCAACATGCAGGGAAGTCATTCCGCTTGGGGTGGGGAGAGCAGCTCTAATCATTAGGAAGTTTTAACTGACATCAAGCCCAAATTGACCACTTTAATTTTTTAACTAAATTTAATTTTTTTCAATGAACAAAAATCCATTTTCTCTCCTTCCCACATCCCATTGAAAAACAACAAACAAAACTGTTTTATCAAATGTGTATAGTGAGGGAAAACAAATTTCTGCATTAGCCATGTCCAAAACATATGATGTCTCCTTCTGCACCTCGAGGCCATCCCTGTCTGTGAGGAGGCAGGAAGCATTCTTTCTCATTGGTCCTCTGGAATCATGGTGGGTCATTGCACTGATCAGAGCTCTGAAGTCTTTCAGAGTACTGTGTCTTTGTAGTGTTGCTGTTATTGTATATGTTGTTCTCCTGGGTCTGTTTACTTCACTCTGCATCAGTTCATACAAGTCTTCCAGGTGTCTCTGAAAGCATCACCATCATTCCTTACAGCACAATAGTATTCCATCATTATCATATACCAGCACTTGTACAGCCATCCCCTCCTACTCAGGTCACCGCTTCTGGTTCTGTCCCCCGGAGCCATTCCCAACCAGTTGAATCTTTCCTCCATGGGCCAGCTCTTCAAATATTTGGACACATATGTCACGTCCTTTCTGAGTCTTGGCTTCTCCAGCCTAAACTTGTCCCATTCCTTCAAGTGACTGCCATATGATACAGACTGAAGGCCCTTCGTCACCCTCTTCTGGTAACTCCACAGCTTACCAATGTCCTTCTTAATCCATGTTACCCAGAACGGAGCACAATGCTTCAGCTGAGGCCTGATGGTGGCAGAGAAAAGTGGGCTTGACACCTCTCTATTCTTGGAAACTCTGCCCTTATTAATGTAGCCCAAGACTCCATTTGATTTTTGGCCACCTCATCACGCTGTTGACTCTTATTGAGCTTTCGCCGCCATCTTTTTCAGGACCACGCCTGCCCCATCTAATGCTTATGTTGGTGACTCTTTGTATGCACTACAAGACTCAACCAATCAGCTACATTTCCTCTTATTACATTCAGCTTGAGCCTGATAAGATCCCAACTATCATTTACTGTGTAGCTTGGTGTCATCTGCAAATATAATGATCATGCCGTCCACATCTTACAAAATGTTCAGAGAGGCCACCAAAGATCCACAAAATATGATTTTTACATAAAATACACTTCAGCCAAGCCCTCTGTGCGCTTTAAGGACTCCACTCCTTGGAAAGCCGTTCATCCTGCCAAGAGCTGACTCATCACAGTTCTGTCATCATTGGGGAAAGTATCCAAGTGCTCCTTTCTCTTTAGGTTCTAAAAATAGAACAAATAACTATGCAGGGGCAGGGAATCAAGATTGTTTGTTTTAAAATTAATAAGGAAGCCCTATCTGAAATTTTTTATTGAGTGCCAAAGAATACTAATTATACCACTAACAAGAAAAGTCATGGCAAATAAAAGTCATAAATAATGTTGAAATTAAAATTATTTCTCTCATCAGAGAAACAATCCTGATGGAATTTGGTTTGGAGTAAAATATGTAATTAGAGAAAAGTGCTCTGGGAGTCAATAGATGGGTTCTAATCTCCATTCTTCCCCTTCATTTCTTTGAGCTTCAATTTCTTCACCTGTGGGAGGGAACCAGATGAGCTCTAAAGTCCCTTTGTCCAGTCCTAAAGTTATCTAATTAGATCTAGGTCACTCTTCACTTGAGAAGTTTTGACTGGATTAAGCTATTCCCCTTTTCTTTCCATTCCTCAACTGGAAACAGACTTAACCATCTCATAGGTTCACTGGCTACCTGACTGGTGGATGCAGCAAAACTCATCTTTACATCATGATAGGGTTGGGAAGGCAGAGCACTTAACCTAGTTACCAGACATAGGAATTTGCCCAGCTTACCTTGTAGACAGTTGACTGGACCCGATTGTGAATTCCCATTCTTTTTATTAGTCATCTGAAGTTTATTCACTAATTTGAAATTCTTTGCTTTTGTTGAAATACAAAACAATGAGAAAAGACGATGATTCTGATGACCTTGTAGAAGGAATACAAGGAATTCAAAGAAACTTAGGAAGATCTATATGAACAGATGCAGAGCAAAGTAACAGAACCAAGAAAATAATACACACAAGGATCACAATAATGTAAAGGAAAATGGCACAAAGAGATCAGAATTCAGATCTCCATATATTGGATCATTTGAATGATAGCTAAAATTGATAACACTTGATTTCTTTTCTTTTTATGCTGTAATTGAAACTGAATTGTTTTCTTTTCTCCATATATTTAATCATTCAAATAACAGCTAAAATTTATAATACTTAGTTTATTTTCTGTTCCTGCTACAATCGAAACTTGAGTTGTTTTCTTCTGCTTTTTAAAATAGTCTTTGTCTATTTCTTCAACAGGTGGTTGGACAAATTAGGTCTGTCAGCTAAAATGGGTATTGAGGGGGTAATGAGACAAGTGTTGTTTGGAGCTGGAAACTATCACTTAGTAGATGGAAACTTCGATCCCATGCCTGTAAGTGACTGTTGCTTCCCCGTTTTTTCTTTTTAGGCAATTGGGGTTAAGTGACTTGCCTAGGGTCACACATCTAGTAAGTGTCAAGTGTTTGGTCTGAGGCCAGATTTGAACTCAGGTACTTCTGACTTCAGGGTGGGTTCTACATCCACTGCACCACCTAGCTTCCCCTTTTTTTGTGAATTTATTGCAGCTAGCCACTCTAAGAAAGCTTACAGCTCTTCAACAACATGTAGCCTCATCATCCTCATCTGTGTTGTCATGGGTTATTTGGCATTGTGAATGAGAAATATGAAGGCACTTGAAACATAAATGTATTTTTCACATATTCTTGAAGTTTATCACCTGTTAAAAGTAAAGAATCGATAGTTTTTAAATGGTATGAGGTAAATCCAAGAAAATATTGAAAACTATATCCGAAAAAATGAAACCACATTTTCTTTTTCTTTTTTTTTAGTTAGCGTAGCTGTATTTTTTTTATTAATTAATTTATTTTGAATTATCAACCATCACTTACATAAGTTTTTGAGTTTTAAATTTTTCTCCCCCTCCCTCCCCACTTTCCTTCTCAAGACGGTGCAAATTTCTGATATAGGCTATACATATACATTCCTATTAAAAATATTTTCACACTAGTGATGTTGTAAGTAAGAATTAGAACCAATGGGAGAAACCACCAGAAAGAGGAAACAAAACTCAACAGAGGAGAAAAAAATAGCAAATAGTATGCTTCAATCTGCATTCAAACTCCATAGTTCTTTCTTTGGATGTGGATAGTATTTTCCATCATAAGGCCATTGTCTCAAAATGTCTTAGATCCTTTTATAGCTGGGAAGGGTTAAGTCTATCCGTATTAGTCATTGCACAACGTAGCTGTTACTATGTACAACATTCTCACTACTTCTGCTCACTTCATTCAGCATCAGACCATGCAAGCCTTTCCAGGTTTTTCTGAAGTCTGCCTGCTCATCATTTCTTATAGCGCAATAGTATTCCATTACATTTATATACCACAACTTGTTCAGCCATTCCCCAATTGATGAGCATCCTCTCAATTTCCAATTCTTTGCCACCACAAAAAGAACTGCTATAAATATTTTTGTACATGTGGGTCCTTTTCCCATTTGTATGATCTCTTTGGGATATAGCCCCAGAAGTGGTATTGCTGGGTCAAAGGGTATGCACATTTTTATAGCCCTTTGGGCATAATTCCAAATTGTTCTCCAAAATGGTTGGATCATTTCACAATTCCACCAACAATGCATTAGTGTTCCAATTTTACCACATCCTCTCCAACATTTATCATTTTCTTGTTTTGTCATATTGGCCATTCTGATAGGTGTGATGTGGTACCTCAGAGTTGTTTTGATTTGCATTTGTCTAATCAATAGTGATTTAGAGCATTTTTTCATATGACTATAGATGGCTTTAATTTATTCGTCTGAGAACTGCCTGTTCATATCCTTTAACCATTTATCAATTGGGGAATGATTTGTGTTCTTATAAATTTGATTTAATTCTCTATATATTTTAGAAATGAGGCCCCTATCAGAGAGACTGGTTGTAAAAATTCTTTCCCAATTTTCTAGCTTCCTTCTAATCTTGGTTGCATTGGCTTTGTTTGTGCAAAAACTTTTCAATTTAATGTAATCAAAGTTATCCATTTTGCTTTTAATAATGTTCTCTATCTCCTGTTTGGTCATGAATTCTTCTGTTCTCCATAAATCTGATAGGTAAACTATTCCTTGCTCTCCCAATTTGTTTACAGTATCAGCCTTTATATCTAAACCATGAACCCATTTTGACTTTATTTTGGTATAAGAAACCACATTTTCAAGCCAGAAAAAAATCATACTTGGATTTTCTACCTTTAAAACAAAACATAGCATTTTATTGATTAAAAAAAAACAACAACTTTGCTGTCATTTCCCAATAATACCCTTCCATTGAACACTTCCATGTAACAAAGATGTAGAGTAAAACAAACTAGCCCCCTGATCATGTCTGGCAACATATGCCTCATTCCATACGTATAGCCTCCCACTCCTCTAATGAAAGGGAAGAGATATGTTTCATGGTCAGGGTGGAGTCATGATTGGCCATTTCACTGATCTGAATTCTGATGTCTTTTCATGTTGTTTTCTTTTACATTATTGTGGTCATTATGAGCGCATTCTCTTGGTTCTATTTATATGACTCTACATCATTCTTCCCAAGGTTCTCTAAATTCCTTATATTATTTTTGTGCAGTAGTGGTCCATTATGTTCATATTCCAGTTTGTTCAGCCATTCCCCAATCAATGAGTGCCTGCTTTAGCACCATTTTTTTTTCAAGATCTCACACTGTTTATTATTTATTAATTATATAAAAGATGCAGATAGATGATAGATGGATGGGTGGATTTATTTTCCCCCAATTAATAGTATTTTATTTTTTCCAATTACATGTAAAGGTAGTTTTCAACATTCACTTTTATGAGATTTTGAGTTCCAAATTTTTCTCCCTCACTCACTTTCCTCCCCTCTTTCCAAGACAGCAAGCAATCTGATATAGTCTATATGTGTTTGTCACCATTTTTTAGCTATTTATGAATATTTTAGTCTATGCAGGAGCTTATGCCCTCTGCCTTTTGCCTCATTTAACCAATTAGCTGGTATTCCTTAAGTGCTGAGCCCTAAGGATTCAAAGCAAAAGATAAAACAGCCTCTGTTCTTAAGGATCTTCTTCTTGATCTATTGGGGTTTATGCACAATACACTTTTGGGGTCAAAGGGTATCTTAACCATCTTAACATCTTAACCACTTTTCTCACATAAACTGTTTTCCAGAACATTTGAACTAATTCACAACTGCTTTAACAGTGAATGCATTAGTGTGCCTATTTTTGGATCAATTCATAACTCTTTAACTGTGAATGCATTAGTGTGCCTATCTTTCCACAGCCCCTCCAACATTCTTTTTTCAGGCCACATGATATTTTTTTCTCTCCCTTAAGTGCTTATATGTGTCCCATGTCCAAGTGCTGAGAGAAATTAAAAGAAAAATACAATGGCCCCTGCCCTTCTGAAAAAAAAAAAATGTGTGCTACAGTGCTAAGAAATGCTAGAAAGAGTAAAGAGTATCCTCAGCTTGTGTGGTTTGTGGGTAGATTTCCCAGCAAGCTTGCTCTTTATCTGTAGTGGTCTATGCATTTCGAGAAGTTTAGTTGTAATTCACAGCCTGTCATTCTTTGATTAATGACCATAAAAATGGAATTTATCTATTTCCTACGTGTATTCTGAATTGAGAGGCAGCCTGGTATAGTGGCAGAGAGCTGGCCTCAATGCCAGGAACACCTGGGTTCTAATTCTGCCTCTGACACATACTGACTGGTTACTTCTTAGGGTTCTAGGGCCATTCTCCAATACCATAAGTTATAGAGAAGGTGCCAGCCTTTCTTAATAGAGGGAATTTCCTCACTTGACAGTTTCCTATACTAATGAAATTGCAGGTCAAGTTCCTTTCCCCTGTGCCTATTCTGAGTTATCTCTATAGTTAAACCAAGTATAGCTAGCTCCTTGAAGCAGTACCCCAAATCTTTGAATGCCTGGCTTTCTATGGACACTATACAAGGAGGGCCCATAATTTCAATACAGTGGATGTTAACATCTGGAAGGTGATCCTTATATCCAGGGAGGTTTCCATGACAGTTACTTGCTGATTATTATGTTGATTCAGATTCTTCCAATAACTCAGGTCTATCCTTGTCTTAAGTAGGGGATCCTGGTGATCTCCCCTTCCTGGCTTCCCTGGCTTCTCTCCTGTCTCACCTCAAATCCTCTCTTCTGCAAGAAACCTTTTCTAGTCTTCCTTAATCTTAACACTTCCTCTTTGAGGTAACATTTCATTTATCCTGACTATAGTTGGTTTGTACATAGTTGTTTGCATATTGTCTCCTCCATTTAGATTGTAACCTCTTTGAGGGCAGGGACTGTCTTTTGCCTTTCTTTGTATTCTGAGCACTTAGCAATGTGCTTAGCACATGGAACATAGTAGATGCTTCAGAAGTGTTTATTGAGCCTAATAGGAACATATTAATGCCAATGTCTTTGCTTTAATATAATCTCCAACTTATCCTGTCTGTCTTGTATGTACATCATTATTTACATGGGTTTTTGTTTGTTTGGTTGGTTGGTTTTTGCCTTTCTTTGTATCCCCACAGTTCCTGGTACTTAATAGGTGCTCAATAAATGTTCCTTTATCTGACCTGCCTCAAACATCAGCCTGCTAGCTTTAACCTTGACAAAGCAAAGAAACAAAATCTATTTATTTTTTCATACAGGATTATTGGCTGTCTCTTCTGTTCAAACAACTAGTTGGCACCAAGGTGTTAACAGCTAGCGTGAAGAGTCCAGATGAAGGGAAACTTCGATTGTACCTCCATTGTACAAACAGCAACCAGTAAGTATTCTGAAGGCTCACTCAATCCCCCCACTATGTATTCTTCTTGATACCTTTTGACCTAGTGAGGAAGCATGGTGTAGTGGACTGAGAACTGGCCAAAAGCTCAGGATGACCAGGACTCAAGTCCCATCTCTGACACATCTTGGCTGTGTGACCTTGGGCAAGTCACTTGACCTCTTCATGTGCCAGGTAACTCTCTAACATTATCAGCTGCAGAACAGTTGCTGATCTGAATTGGGAGACAGAATTTCCTCGCTGGTAATTCATTTTGCCAATAAAAGTGAAGCCAAATCAACAAGCATTTATTAAGTCCCTTCTATGTGCCAGGCACTGTGTTAAGCACTGAAATTCAGGTACAAAGAAAAAAGAAGTATTTTCTTATGGCCAAACCTTATTAAAGCACTGTGTTGTGATATAGACCCAGTTATATGTCTGGCCCAGTAATATTCTCTGCGTTACATAATTTAAATACATTTCAAACTAAACCTGATGCTAATCCAGAGTGGTGTGATTGAATTAGCACCAAATCCAGCAGCTACCTAAAGCTCAGTTTCTGAGCAAATCTTGTGAGTCCTTCACAAGATTTGACATTTGCTAGACCTATAGTTCAGCTGGTTAATATTGGCCACAATCATTATTATCCTAAGTAATCTTAGGAAAATTCTTCTTTCATGTACAAGCCCTGTTGTGAGAATCTAATCTATAAGTCAAATACTATTGCATGAAAATGCCAAATCATAACTAGCAATAAGGCCAAAAATCATTATAGTCTGATGTATTCATCTCCTTGTGTTATAATTTGTGCTTTAAATTTCATTTTAAAATGATAATAACTAGCATTTATATAGTACTTTAAGGTTTTCAAATAACTCTGTAAATATTATCTCATCCTCGCAACAGCCCTGTGAGGAAGTTGCTATTATTATCCCCATTTACAGATGAGTAAACTGAAGCAGACTGGGGTTAAATGGTTGCCCAAAGTCACACAGCTATCTTTCTGAGGCAGAATTTGAACTCAGGTCTTCCTGACTCCAGATCCAGCACACTACTCACTGCACTGTCTAGCTGTCCATCAAAATGAATTTTTTTCTCTAAGTGTGTTTACCATTTATAAAAGCAAAGAAGCTTAACATTTCATAATCCTGTATTCTGGCCTCCAAAGTAATTAGACCTCATCATTTTGGAAAGGCTGACTTTCTTATTTGGGGATCAAATCCATATCAAATCTTTCTTACTGGATAAGGTGGCCTTAGGTTATAGTCTCCACCCTGTTAAGTTTGCCAGATCCCATCTCCATCACTCATTGATGAAGAGTGCTTATGGCACAAGGAGTTTCAGCCCAATGCTTTGATTTCCCATGACCACGCTGCTAAGTGTTTGGGGGATGGTACAACTGGGTGGGGTTTAGGGAAGGTAAATAGCTTTCTACATTTTCATTAGGAACCTTCTACACATAGATAGTTCCTGCTGAACGGGCTTATAATCTGAATTGACATCAAAGCGTGATGGCCATATCATCCCACTTCCTTTCAAAACTTTTATTAGTCATCTAAAGTTTATTCACTAATTTGAAATTCTTTGCTTTTATTGAAATATGAAAGAATGAGAAAAGAAGGTGATTCTGATGACCTAGTAGGAGGAATACAAGGAATTCAAAGAAACTTAGGAAGATCTATATGAACGGAGGCAGAGCAAAGTAAACAGAACCACAAAAATAATACACACAAGGATCACAGAAATGTAAGGGAAAACTGAACTAGTGGCTGTCTACTTCTCAGAACTTCCCCTTGACAAGGCACCCAGCTTCTCAGAATACCTCAGCTGAGGGGGCAACACTACAAAGGAATTGTCATTGGGTCAGTGGGTGGCTCACCTCTCAATCTTCATCGATCACGACTCCTCGAAGCCTTTGAGGAGATGGTCTCATGCGTCTGTGGTCACTTCCTCTTCCTAAAAAAACCCCATAGTTTTCTGTTGGCCGACCTTCTAATAATGAATCTGTCCAAACACAGCTAGGTTGGTCCTCAGATGACAGAGTCCATTGTAAGGTGTGCATTCAAAGCCTTTCCAGGATGGTAAAACCTGATAGAAAGTGTTCTCTATTGGCCCAGAGTACTGGCACTAGAAGTACCAGGATTTCAGAACACCCCGAAGGACTGAGCTACATCAATTGATACATGCAATTTTTCATATCCTTAAGGCAAAGAAAATAGGGATAGGATGAACATTTTTATTTCAGAGTAAAATTATAATAACATATTTGTGTCAATTAACATGCCTGGTTTTTCTCGTGTTAATAAATGCTTCTTGACTGACTGGTATAGCCTTTGAGAGCCAAAAGTCATTTCCAATCCATGTGTAGGCCTCAGAGAAGGATTTTAATGGAGACTGATAGTAATAATGCAACATTTTTTTTTTTTGCCCCTGTAACCATTCATAAGACAGCAGTGCCCAGAAAACGCCAGTCTGAGATGCCCTTTTGGTGACAGCTACAGGCTCCCAACAGTAGTCAGCAGACCCTGCTCCTAACACCCCACCGCCACCATATAATTAGGAGCCAACATGGTTTGACCCTGGCTCACTGTGTATTAGGCTGACACCGAGAGGTAGCTCAGGCTGGACCCAGCAGGGCCTGTCCTGGGTAGGCACGTTACAGGCTGCTGATGACTTGGAGGGAGTTGACCTTAGGTCCTTGAAGGCAGTGTTAGCTGAGCACGGCCTCTGGCAAGTTCTCCCAAAATCATGAAGTCTCTGAGTATGGAGTCTAGGGATGAATCCTCTAGCTGCCATCTAAGAACCACCTCCATCCAAGTTCTTAAGGTGTTTATCACTAGGCTGATAGCTCGGGTGGATTTGTCAGGTATATAACACTCTCAAATATTGTGCTGGGTTCTGTATCAGTAGAGGAAGGATCTCCAGCAGCAGAATTTTATATCCTGAAAGGATTACTGCTTCATTGTACCTTTCTATATGTTAATATAGAAACCAAGACATCAGCCTGTGTGTCTCTTTGATGCATGGCTTATGGCAAGCACTAACTACCTATGAAATAAATGAATGAGTAAATCCAAGTCTGTATAATGTGCATGTGTGTGTGTGTGTGTGCATGTGTGTACATGTGTGTTCATGAAATTCGTATAAGCTAGGCAAATGCAATGCTATTAATAATTTAATCTGTTTTGTTTTAGTCCAAAGTACAAAGAAGGAGATTTAACTTTGTATGTTCTAAATCTGCACAATAACACCAAATATCTAAAGTTACCTTCTAAATTCTGTGGCAAACATGTGGAAAAATACATCTTGGAACCTTCTGAATACCAAAACCTACTTTCCCAGTAAGTAATATCCCACATTCCTCATGCCGTCAAATTTATCAGTGTTGACCAGGGTGCTGGCATAGTGTTGCTAACAGTTGGTTGTTAAGAGTGGAAATGGTGCAGCTTTTCCAAGTTTTGAATACATTTCCTTTTGATTAGAGACATTTTAAATAAAGAGTAAGTGGTTAGCCTTTTGAATTTGGGCCAAGTTAGAGCATTACAGATGTTCCCTACTTTAAGAAAATCCTTCACACAGGAATTTAGCAAACATATCTCACAGTAGGATTTGACAGATTCTGTCAAGAATCAGCTCCTTGGGGCTGCTAGGTGGTACAGTGAATAGAGCTCCAGCCTTGGAATCAGGAGGACCTGAGTTCAAATCTGATCTCAGACACTTCACACTTACTGGCTGTGTGACCCTGGGCAAGTCACTTAATCCCCATTACCTCACCAAAAAAAAAAAAAAATAGGCTCCTTACAGAAATGAACTAATTTTGCTCTTGTTAATAGAGGAAGAAAGGCCTAGTGGTGTATCTTTTAGTTACCTTCAATACACTCATCAGCGTGGGTGGTCTCTGTCTACAAACCATCCAGTATTTAGCTCAGGCCTAGCACATAGTAAGCACTGTTGATAAATGCTTCTTCCTTCATTCATATCCACACTTTCTCATCCAGTGCAACTCTTGTCCTTACTTCCAGGCCTGTTGGGGGTCTCTAGAGCAATAATTCTTTTTTTTCCCTCCTTTTTTTAATTAATTTATTTTGATTAATCAACAATCACTTCCATATGCTTTTGAGTTTTAAATTTTTCTCCTCCTCTCTCCCCACCTTCCTCCCAAGATGGTGCACAATCTGATATAGGCTCTACATATACATTCATATCAAACGTATTTTCACATTAGTGATGTTGTAAGTAAGAATTAGAACCAATAGGAAGAACCACCAGAAAGAGAAAACAAAACACAACAGAAAAAAAAAAAGAACAAATAGTGTGCTTCGATCTGCATTCAAACTCCATAGTTCTTTCTCTGGATGTGGATAGCGTTTTCCATCATGAGACCCTTGGAGATGTCTTAGATCCTTGCATTGCTGAGAAGGGCCAAATCTATTAACGTTACTCATCGCACAATGTGGCTGTTACCGTGAACAATGTTCTCCTGGTTCTGTAGAGCAGTAATTCTTAACCTTTTTTACATCAGGGACTCCCCTAACAGTTTGGTGAAACCTATAGACTCTTCAGAATCATGTTTTTAAATAATTGAAGGAAATGGGAAATTTCAGTTAGAGCTTAGTGAATATAAAGATGTAGGTTTTTCCCCACCCAAGTTTACAGATCCACTGAAACCTATCCGCAGCCCTCTTAGGGGAGAGCAGAGAGGGTCTGTAGATCCCAAGTTAAGAACCCCTGTCTAGCATTGATATTGTATGATTATCCCTCACAATTGCTATATGATTTGGCCCAAATCTTTTAAAATAATTATTTATACTTTCTTTACATCATAATCATTTCCTAGAACTTTACTTTCTTCCCAAGAGGGACAATTCAACAAAACAAAATGACACATAAACCATATCTAATAGCATATGGAGCATTCTTCATCCATGGTCCACCACCTCTATTGGAAAATGTTTCATTGTTCATGACCAAATTGATCATTGTATTAACAGCCCACTTTTATCGAGAGTTTTCAAGTCTGTAAAGAGCTTCAAAAACAATTTCTCATTTGATCCTCACAACTCTGTGAGATAAAACTATGCTTCAAATTCTATCCCAGCATCACACCTCTAGTAAGCAGCTGAGGTAGGATTTGAATTTGGATCTTCTTAACTAAAAGCCTGACACAGCATTCAATAGACCATGATTCATTTTGAATTCTCACGTCTTTTCATGTCGTTTTCCTTTGCCGTTTTGAAGTCATTGTGCATGGGTCTGCCTGCTTTCTTCTGCATCACTTCCTACAAGTCATCCCAAGTTTCTTTTATTTCCTCATATTTGTTATTTCTGTTAACTCTAGTAAGTCAATAATTTACAATTCTATTTGATTACATTTGTCAACTGTACCAAACCAGCTTTTAACCTGTGGATGGTTGGAGCCAAAAAGAGCAGACTACAGACAAGAGAGTCAGGAATCAAACGGGAATTTAATTTCAAAGTGAGAGAAATAGCTCTCAAGCAAGGCCGTGTGTGCCAGGGCCCTGCCCCTAGCGAGGAGATGCAAGGCAAGATGGGGAGCCATTATACCAACGACAATGAAGGGTAACAGCAACGAGCCAAGTTTGATTCATAGCAGGGCTTCATGACCGCAACACGGATATTTGTCCGAGCTTGTCTGAGCTCAGAGAACACCCGGTGCTGGTCAAAGCAATACAATAATTTTGTGATTTTGCCAGAGGGTGAGTGCGAAGGACTGTGGTCATGCCAAGCTCAGGGCTCAGCCTGCTTTCTCGGCCTTAGCTCTGGAACGCAGGGTGTCTCCTAAAATCTTGACACATTCATATTCCTCAGCCTGTTTAGAGCCACCCCCTTTAATGGTAACCCATTTTGTTGATTTTTTAAATACATTTTATTGATGCCTTTTGTTTTGACATCAGTCATTTCCAGATATACCTGCCTACCAACAACTAGTCCTCCTTTGTAACAAAGAAAAACAATCAAGGAAAACTATACTTCGTAGTGACTGCATCTGAGAATGTGTGGGATGCTCTGGATCCATCCCCACTGTCTAAATCACATTCACTGATGGACCAAGACTTTTGTAAACTTGCTTTTCCCTCCACCGTTTCTTGCCACTTTTGTGAGTTCATGGTCACTTCCACAGACCAATGAGACATTGAGGTGGACTTTTGTAAAGATTCTGATACTTCGGATTTAACTTTAAATAACAAAAATACTTTATTGAAATCATGTTGCCAGGAAATCCCAATTTCATCTGCTTCTCATAATGGGTCGAGTCAGCAAGCATTTATCATAACAAATAGACACACTCAGTGTGTGCCAGGCACTGGACTAATGTATAATAGAAAATGTCATAAGAGTATGGTGGAAATGGATATATGTATCTTGAACAGATGAGTATACTCATATTTGAAAGTTGGAAAGAATTTTTTTCTATTTTATTCTTATATATTAGGCCATGAAAAATTTAAGCAGCCCACAAGATTCTCTCTAACTTTCCCCTTACCTGAAAATACAGTACCCTAAGTTGACAAGTGGGATGGTAGAGTCACTGTTTCAGATTCTGATCAAGAGTTAGAAAAAAATGTGGCATAGAATTCACTATGCTGCATTTCTTCTTTCTCTCAAAATTCTTGGGAGTATCTTTGGTTTGCTCCTCATGAGGGGCAGTCCCCTAGGTTTTGCTATATATTCCCCACTGTTGGAGAAAAGATACCCAAACTGATCTGTGATCTCCTCTCTGTGCGTAGATTCCCTCAAGCAGTGTTGATCCCAACCCCTTCCTTTTCCCCATCCTATATGATTCTTATTTATTTCTGTCAGTCTTCCCTTGTGGATCCATCCAATGTATTAGAGCCCTTCCTCTATTTTTTTTTTCAATACTTGGAGGTCACCGATGGTGAAGACAATATGACTTCAGTACCTCTGTCCTTTCTTAAATCAAGGAAGCACGTATTCCAGCCCCAGCCCCCAACTTGCTGCCTAGTTTTTGTATCCCCAAATGGTCTTCTCTCACGTCCAGCAAGACGCCGTGCAGCTAAGCCAGACTAATCTACATTACCCCTGGGTAACCCTTAAGTAAACGTCCTTGCCTCAGTCTTGGTTTTATGACAGGATGAATAAATTCTGATACTTTTGTACTTAATGTTCTCTCTTCCTTTAAGAGATGGGAGCCTCTTCTTGAAGACGCACTGTCTCCTACTTGGTTAGCTATTTGTTTCTTTGCTTGCTTTTAAATAACTCTTTGCACAGTCTTCAGGATAAAACAACAAAATGGCTCTTACTCCATTACTCCTTGTTGTCTTTAGGTGGTTCATCTAGTAATTCTCAGTAGTGTTACACAACAGGTTCACCTCCTTTTCCAGCCAAACAGGATCATGGAATCCTAGAGCCAGGGCTGGACGTGGCCTCAGATGTCACCTAGGCCAGGCCCCTCCAACAGATCTTTGATGGTTTCTCCCCCACCCCCATTTCTGGTTTGCATGTCACAGTGGGTAATATGCTACAGCCCACTTAACTTCAACAGGAGCCAATCTGCTGTCCTTCGAGTCACCTGTATTCTGATTCGTCCTAGGTCATGGTGGTTCATGGGACACAGGCATGTACTCACCTTAGGAGAATGAAAGATGGTCTTTTGCAGCAATAGTTAGCTTGGGATCCTCGAAAGCATTGCAGTTTCTGAAATGTCACCCAAGCTGATCTCCTACTCAGTTTTAGACCTGGCTCATTGTCCAGTTGCAGTGTGCCTGTCCAGGACACACATTGATGAACATTGAGATGTGCGTGATAATCTGCCCACTGTGCATTTGTCATCTAGGCTGCAAGCTGCGGCAATAAATAGAGCACTGGACCTGGAGTCAGGAAGACCCAAGTTCAAATCTAGCCTCAGACATTTACCAGCTCTATGACCCTAGACAAGTCACTTAACCACTGTCTGCCTCAATTTCCTCACTTGTAAAATAGGGATAATTAGAGCATCTACTTTCCAGGATTCTTGTGAGGATAAAATAAGACACTTTGCACACCTTCAAGTGCTATATAAATGCTAGCTATGCGTCTACTTTGTTTTTTCCAGTGTGGCAGAGACTGAAACAATATATTGCAACTAGTTATGGATTTAACCAAAGACCCTGAATGAACTGATGAAAGAAATACTTTTTTAAAATATTTTTATGGAATTTTAGAGATGTCTTATAGATTAATTCTTTTTACTATTTTCATCCTCAAGAATCCTTAATGGACTTAAAAGCCTCTGCTTTAGCACCCCATTTAATTGGTAGGCCAATAATTCACAAGGCAAGAATTCTTTTTTTTTTTTTTAAATATACTGAGCCAAATCTTTCTAACTTTGGTTTTTACCTCCAGAGTTTGGTTCTTTCAGGGCAACAAAGAACCAAATTCACTCTCTCTGCTCCGTGACAACCTTTTAAAGACATCCATCATATATCCCCCACCTTCAGGCTAAACATTCCTCCTTCTTACAACTTTCTTCATGTGCAGTATTCTAGACTTTGGTATGCTATGTTCAGTGCACTGTGGTTTTCCAGTTTCATTTTTAAAATGTGACATTCAGAATGAAACTCAGCCCATGGGGTGTGGTCCAACCATGGCCAGGTATGACAGAACTATTATCTGTACCCTGTTTCCGTTAAAGGAGCCTAAGTCTACGCTAGCCTTTTATTTTGTTTTATTTTATTTCTTTTTTCTTTTTTATATTAATTTCTTTTTAGTTTTCAATGATCAGTTCCATATGCTTTTGAGTTTTAAATTTTTCTCCTTCTCCCTCCCCAAAATGGTGTGCAATCTGATATATAGCCTTTTCTTTTTAAAAATATATATATTTTTTCTTTGTTTTTTTGGAGTCAGTTGTGGTTAAGTGACTTGCCCATGGTCACATGGCTGGTAAGTATCCAAGGCTGGACTTGAACTCAAGTCCTTCTGACTTCAGGGCTGGGGCTCTACCCACCGTGTCACCTAGCTGCCTGACTACCAAAAACAAACAAAAATATTTTGTCCATGTCTTCTGCTTTTACGTCACATTTATTTCTGAATACATTCCTCCCTATTACTCAACAAGCCAAAGAGCCCTCCCTTGTAATAAAGATTAAAAAAGAAAGCGGGAGAGGGTAGGGAGCAATTTAGCAAATCAACCCTGTTCTGATTTCATTAGAGGTGTATTCTCCTCCAACCCTGAGGCCCTTGTCCACTGGTCTTTCTTTCATTCCTAGCCTTTTAACTCTAAACTGGAGGCAACCAGGTGGTGCGATAGATCCAAACCAGACCTAGAGTCAGGAAGAAAGATGTGAGTTCAAACCCAGCCTCAAACACTTACTAGCTGCGAGACCCAGGGCAAGTCACTTAACCTCTGTCTGCCTCAGTTTCATCATCTGCAAAATGGAGAGCATAATAGCGACCACCTTCCAGGATTATTGGGAGGATGAGATGTGACGGTATTTGTGCAGACCTTAAGCTACAGATTAATGCTAGCTATTAGGAATAATAATAACAATAACAACTTGAGTAGATAGCATGGTGCAGTGGGTGAAGTATGGCTTTTGCATCAGGTAGCCTAGGGCCTGAATCCCACTTTGGATACTTTCTCTGTGCCCCTAAGGAAGTCACAACTTCTCCAAGCCTGTTTCATTTTATAAATGAGGACATTAATATAATAGCACCTGCTTCAGGTTTGTTGTGAGGAGCAAGTGAGGTGAGATGTGTGAAGTGCTTTACAAGCCTTAAAGAACAATATAAAGGTGAGCGGGTATTATTAGGGGACTGCCATGTGCCTCCCCCGCTCCTCCTCCATAGGAGTAGACCATTGTTGAAGAAAGTTACTGGGTTCACTCAAAATGGATGCTCTTTGATCTCAGCTGAGCAAACCCTGCTACACAATAATCCTTTTATTCATCTCTTATGGACTCTATCACATCCCCCACAGCAGCTATTATTGTTATTATTATTATATGTATTGTAGATACAGTTCTTCACCCAGATGGAAACGCATCTAACTACACTGAGCCCAAATGCTTCAAGTCTTATTGTTTAATTCACCTTTACTGGAAAACTACACAGAAAAATTATGTTTGCCTCTCTGAAATGGAAACTTTTAGCAAAATGCTTTTATCAAGCATTTCTTCTGTGAAGCCACAGGCTGTCATTTCTTTTATAGTGAGATGACATTTAGTACTTGTGGTTTCCTGATGGTGGTCACAGTATTTGCTTTTGCACCTGACCAATAACTAATGGGGTGTAAGTGCTAAAAGCAAACATGGTATCATGGCAGAATTACCATGTCAACCTCAGGATCCCATCTTGGGTCTCGCATGCCACGTAACTGCCATGTCATGTCTTGAAGAGATACTTTTGGATATGGATTCCAAGTTAAACCAGGATTTGTACCAGGAAAGAGCAGGTTTGAGGATTTTCTGTTTACAATGTCAGTCAGAATTTTAAAAATTCTTCCCAAAGAACATACAATTTTTAATTTTACTTCTTACAAAAAAAAAATTGAGGGAGAACATATTCTATTGATTCTTTTAAATACATTTTTTCTAGATCTTGTTAACCTACTCTGTTTCATTGGTCAAGTTTTCTATTTCTTTTTTTTTTATATTTAAACAGCTTTCTTAACAGTCAAGCCGTGATTAACATTCACATCTATTACGTCACATCATACAAATGTAAATACAAAATTACTACAGTACAATATATATTCTCTGCATGATCCAAAATATTTGGTGGTCCCAAAAAGCTTTCTTGAAAATTCAGCAGCTTATCAAAAATTAAAACCACATTCTATTTAAAATGAAGTTCTGTTAGCACAGAGTCAGACTTCAAGGTATATCAATTTAGTACAGGTTGAGAAGTTGCAGGAGGATGTTAGAAGGAAACATTTTAACATTGTGTGGCAGACACAAGAAACATTAGATTTAAAGCTTTTAAGCGTAACTCATACAATCTAAGTTGTCAGCAGAAAGATTCTATTTCTTTAACCAGTGCTTTAATCATGTAGAATTATAAACTAATGAGCTCTGGCTTTATTCTCTTATCCTTTCTAAATGTTTTATTTAAATGTCTTTTTTAAAAAACACTACAATCAACTCCCACTGACTCTACTCCTAACTCCCTCCCTCTCATTTCCAAGAAAATCCTCCATGGTTAGTGACTCTAGGAGGGAAGGAGAAATGAAAGAGCTACATTTGGAAATAAAGATAATATTAAAAAAAAAAAGGATATCAATACATTTTTAAAAGAATCCTTCCATGTAACAAAGAAACATAGTCAAGAAAAACAAACCAAAACATCGGCCAGGCCTGAAAATGTGTACCTCATTCTCCATCTGTAGTGCACCACCTCTCCTCTGAGAGGTGGGGGGCCTGTTTCAGCATCAGTACTCAGAAGTCCCAATAGGCCACTGCATTGATTCAAGTTCTAGGCTTCCAGCGCAGTCCTGATCTTCTGGTGCTCCTCGTGTAAATCGTTCTCCTGGTTCCCCTTACAGTATGTGGCTCTGGATGGATTTTGTTTGGGGTGAAGAATGATACCCACAGCGCATGTTAACCAGCACGGCAGCCCTTTATGTCACATCCTAGGGTTCGACATTTCCATCAGTGATTTTGATGAAGATGTAGAAAGCCGCTGATCAAATTTGCAATTCCACAGATCAATAATTAAAACAGTGGTTATCTATAAAGTATGGAACACAAGAAAAGTTCCTCGAGGTGTCATTGAATCAGGCTCAGGGTAACATGCTGTATTTCGAGTCACTTCAATATAGCAAATATTTATTGAGCATCTGTTTTGTTTGAGGTGGGAGGGAATACTGCATATTGGATAACCTCAGGGTCAGCAAGACCCGGCCTCAGGTCCAAATAAAAATTCCTCTTTTCCCAACCTGAAATAAACTTCCATTATGTTCACATCCCACAGTGTTCAGCCATTTGCTAATCAATGGGCACCCACCTTCCTTCCAATTATTTGCTACTACAAAAAGGGGTTTTCCACATTTTCCCCACCATAGCACCTTTCCTCTCTCTTTGACCTCTGTGGGGATATATGCCCAAAAGCACTAACATTGGGTCAACAAATTACATTATAGCAGCCGCAGCAACAATTGTATAGCATTCACTATGTATCAGGCTAGGTGGTGTGGTGGATAGAGTACCTGGCCTGGAGTCAGGAAGACCTGAGTTCAAATGTGGTCTCAGACACTTACTAGCTGAATGACACTGGGCAAGTGACTTAACCCTGTTTGCCTCAATTTCCTCATCTGTAAAATGGGCTTGAAAAGGAAATGACAAACCACTCCAGTATCTTTGACAAGAAAACCCCAAATGGTGTCAGCCACGACTAAACAAAATGTGTCAGGCATTATGCAAAGTGCTTTACAACAAAAGCTGTCTTATTTGATCCTTACAATCAACCTTGGAGGAAGGTGCTATTATCATCTCCATATTACACATGAGGAAACTAAGGCAAACAGAGATCAACTAATTTATACAGAATCACATCAGGCCATATTTGAACTCAGGTCTTCTTGACTCCCGGCTCAGGTGTGTTATTCATTACCCCACCTAGCTGCCAATATCTGATTTACTATTGATTTGCATTCTTTAGAATTGAATTTGACTTAGAAAATAAAATCAGCTAGATTTTCTTTCCCTATCAATAACAGAAATAACAAACAACTTGATAAAACAACAATCCAGGAATGATAACTAACAATTATATGTGGTTTTTAACATAAAATGCAATGTAGCACATACGTAATTAGATGATATTCATATAATACTTGCTTTCAGAAATATTAATTTGTTGAAGAGAAACCTCCAGATAAAACCTGTTGTGAGTAGATGAAACATAAATTACTTGACTAAATCAGCATCTTTCCCTCCATTTACTTTCAGATCTGTGAAACTGAATGGCCACGTTCTCAAGATGGTGGATAACCAAACATTGCCAGCACTGATTGGCAAACCCCTCTGTCTAGGCTGTCCTTTGACTTTGCCACCTTTCTCATATGGATTTTTTGTTATACTAAATGCTAAAGTTGTCGCTTGCATCTAAAAGGTGAAGACTGATCAATTTAATCCTATGGATGAACTTCAGGAGTAATGACCGAAGGAAAGTACAACTTGAAACGTTATGAAGTCAGGCAAATATATCATCATGTGTCATTGAGTGAAAGCTTCCAAGCAACAAAGACTGGGTCTGAGTGAATACATACCAAAACACGATTCCAATTTCAAAGCTACAAAGAGCCTAAATTTTGTATGTTTTATATTTTCATATTTTTAATAAAGTAATTTATGGACCCTTAATGTTATGATATTGTTATTCTCAAAAAATGAAGCCTTAATTAATTTTATAAAATGCTTATACAAGAAAAGCCTCCAATGGACTAGAGCCTAGATGGCAGAGTAGTAAGAAGTCCAGTGAGTTCTCCCCACCACCACCACCAAAAAAAAAAATTCCTCCAGAAGAGCTAGAAAATGCACCAGACTTAATAATGACCAGGAAATCTAAGGGAAAAATCACAGTGAGCCATTTTTCTGGCCTAGGGAGCCAGAGAGAAGGACCCTGGGGATGGGATGTAGCTGGAGGTACACAATGCAGAGTGTGCCAGTACATGGAAAGGTGATGCACCAGGGCAATCTGAGGTCCCAGATCCAACGTGAAAAAGTTTAAACTTTGTGTAGGGTTCAAGGACAAGTGCCAACTGGCAGCTTTGTTGCTCACTACCCAGTGACAAGGCACAGGTTCAGGGTGAACTAAGAAGATCTCTACCGAGGTACTAAGCAAGCAACAACGTCAAGGAACAAACACAAGTAGCATCTGTGTGGCTTGGACCCCAAGAGCAGAATGGAGTCTGGGTTCCAGCCTCCAGCCCAGACCAAAGCCTGAAAAGCAATAACTAGGTCAGGAATCCTAGACCAAAGGGAAACCTGCAGTTCTGTGGCTTTGAACCATCAGAACTTTCCAGTTGTGACAGTGATGAGTCTAGCAGCAGAGTACTGCAATTCCAAATAGGCAAACCTATATGCCTGTTGCTCGGACACAAACCCAAATCAGGAAACTATAGAGTGGGATGGGGGAAGCAAGCAGACTTTGTCCTGGATCAGACCACTTTTGGAGCACTAAAATATTACACATCCTAGAGTAACACAGCACTCGGTGCCCTCAAAAATCACAACAGCAAACCAGCCCAGATGTTTCCTCCAGAAGTGCACAGAAGTTGACCTTCAAATAAGTCCAAAGTCAAGAAGCAGGCAAGAAGAATCCCCCCATAAAAGTTATGAAGGTGACAGGGATACTTAAGACACAAACCTAGAAGAAAAGACTGACTCCAAAACAACTACGAGCAAACGCTCAAAGCAAAACCCAGATTGGGCACAGATTCAATTAGATCTGAGAGATGAGGTAAGAATTTTAAAATATTTTTGTAAATGAAAAGAGTAATGAAGGGGGAAAAATGAAAAAGAAACAAGAATTATGGAAGAAAGAATTAGAAAAGGAATTAATGGCTTGGCACAAGAGATTCAAAACCTTGTCCAAGCAACAGACTCCCTGAAAACTAGAATGGACCAAATAGAAGACAATGAGTCCATGAGGCAAGAAATATTAAAACAAAGTCCAAAGACAGAAAAAAAAAAAAGAGAAAGTGTAAGGGATCTCATAACAAAAACAACTGACCTGGAAAAATGATTGAGGAGAAAAAAATTTAAGAATTACTAGATCACCTGAAAGCTATGACCAAAAAAAGAGTCTAGAAATCATATTTCAAGAAATCATAAAAGAAAATTGCCCAGATTGCTTAGAACCAGAGGCCAAAGTAGAAATAGAAAGAATTCATTGGTCACCTCCTGAAAGGAACCCCAGAATGAAAACTCCCAGGCCCATTATAGCAAAAATCCAGAGTTTCCAGGTCAAATAAAAAATATTTCAAGCATCCTGAAAGAAAGAATTCAAATACTAAATAGTCAGGATCATACACCATCATATAGCACATATATCACATAACAGACACCATCATAAAGTAATGGAGAACTTGAAATACAAAATTCCCAAAGAAAAAGGATATGAGTTTACAGCCAAGAATCACTTGCCCAGAAAAACTGAGTATAATCCTACAAGGATTATAAAGAATTATAATTATAAAGGATGGGTCTTTAATGAAATAGAGGACTTTCAAGCATTCCTGTGGATGAAAAGACTAGCACTACATAGAAACTTTGAAATGCAAATATAGGAGTTAAGACAAACCAAAAAGGTAAACTTTAGTGAAACTAAACAAGGTTAAAGTACTTATGTTCTAATATGGGGAAATATTACAGGTGTCCCTTCTGAATCTTATCATCATCAGGGGTCATAGAAGTAGGCTAATTTCATATAAAACCTGGAAGTGGTTCTGTTATGTCTTGATGATCTAAAAAGAAGAATGAGAAGGAAGGGAAAGGGAAATATACTAGGCTGAAGAAGCAAAAGGAAGGGTGGGGGCAATTATCTCACATAATCTGTGGTGTGTAAGTAGAAGTCTATAGCAGGAGTAGGGGTGGGGAATCTATGGCCTTCAGGCCACATTGGCCCTCTAGGTCCTCAAGTGCAGCCCTTTGACTGGATCCAAATTTCACAGAAGAAATCCTTTTATTAAGGATAGACTTTATACAAATAAAGAGGTGAAGGAATAGCTGACACCTGAATTTTACTCTCATTGTAACTGGTCAAAGGAGGGACTCTATACAACTACAGAGTAGGATACAAAAATTCATGTTTCTCAACAAGGAAATAGGAAGAATCGGACAGAAGGCAGATTAAAAGAGTGATTAGTACTAAGCAAAGCAAACTCTAAGGATGTACACAAATACTTATAGAACTTTTCATAGTGGCAAAGAGTAGAAATCTGAGGGGGTACCCATCAATTGGGGAATGGCTGAACAAGTTATGGCATATAAATGTGATAATACTATTGTGCTATAAGAAATGATGAAGGGAATTGTTTCAGTGAAACTTGAGAAGATTCGTATGAACTGAGATTCAGCATAAAACAAGCAGAACCAGAAAAACAATTTACACAATGACAACAATATTATAAAGACAAACAACTTTGAAAGACTTAAGTCTTAATCATTGTAATGACCAACCACAATTACAGAGGACTAATGATGAAACATGCTCCCCACCTCCTGGTACAGAGGCAAAAGACTCAGAGTGCAGAAGGTTTTTTTTTTGTTGTTGTTGTTTTTTTACATAGTCAATGTGGGAATGTATTACTTGACTATACATGTTTGCAAAGGGAGTTTTGCTTTTCTTTGTTTTTTTAATTAGGGTGGAGTGGGAGGGAGAACAGGTATATTTTTGCTGATTAAAAAAAATGAAATAAAAAAACCACAAAGCAAAAAAAAAAAGCAAATTTTTTTTTTATTGAAAAATTTCCAAGATATGTCTCATATCTTGGACAGTCATCTGTTTCTTTTGTTTTAATCAAAACTATTCTAAATAAACTGGTTTCACATTTTTATTACTTCTTTAACCACTTTTATAATTTTTAATGAGTTCACATAATCATTTGAGGAACTTTAATAAACTTAAATAACTTTATTTAAACTACTATTTATTAAATAACTTTAATAAAGTCTAAAACCTCTACAAAACCTCTTCTATTACAACTACTTTTGCAGCTAGGTGGCAGAGTTAGTTAGGATAAGTTTTGAATTTGGAGTCAAAAGAACTAAATCCATCCTCAGATGTTTAAAATAACATTTTAAAATACAAATTAATACGTAATTAAATAATATTTAAAGTGCTAGCTATTAAAAACATCTTATACAGTTTCTTGGTAGGAATCCAGATTTGTATTAAAAGTTATGTTTTAAATTTTATTTAGCAACTAAGGCTGATGCTTGGACTAGTGTTCTTTGGATGGGAAATTATTATTAATAATAATGCGTATAATTTGGGGAGTTTTACGAAGCACTTCACTTGTACTATTTGAACCTCAAAACCACCCTGTGACACAGGTGATGTAAGTACCACCTCCAATTTACAGATGAAGAAGTTAACACTTAGAAACTTAAATGATTTGCTCACACTTACACAGCAGGTGTCTGAGTTCAGAATCTGACTTGGAATCCAACATACTTCACCATAGGCTATAGCTACAAAAATTAAAAATTGCTTTTGTGTCCAGTGAAAACTCAAAAATGAGTACTTGAATTTATTTTTATGAAATCATTTCCATCCCTTTCACTCTTAATCTTAGAACCTTCTCTCTGAGAATCCCACCAAGACTATCTCCCATTTATCCTGTGTTTATCATATTTATATATAGTTGCTTGCATGTTTCCCCCCATCATCCTTAACAACAGAGGATATCTCTTGCCTTTTTTTTTCGTATTCCCAGCATTTAGAACAGTGCCTGACATATAGTAGGTATATAATGAATTCTCATTAACTTGACTTGATTCAGCAAAGGAGAAAATCTAGCTGACAGAATAAACATAAACCTATCTTCACTGCTCCCCACCACCACCGTCAAGTCACTATAGTTCATAACACTCTTAAATCATTTATGAAAATTGTATGTTAACTATAGCAAAGCATTTGAGACTTGGTATATTTGGATATTTTGGATTTCTAAAGTAATTTGAAAATAGACACACTAATCTGAATTCATTCCTGGATTTGTAGAATATAATAATGCTACCACATTACAGAGAAAACCTTGAAAGGCACACTTATTTGAGCAACTGGAAGGGACTGTATGCCTATGCAGTACCAACATTCTAATGGGAAAGATGAAACAATTGTCCCTTCAGAACCTTAATGCCTTGAAAGAGTCTAAATAAGAAAAGCAGATAAGCGGATGGCTCGCTTCTGTTCTGAGCATTTTAAGAGAAATAAGAGAAAGAAGGGTAAATGAAAGAAGAGAATAGTGAAGAAAGGAGGAAGAAAGGGGTGAAACTTGATATTTCTTTTAAGTGAGGTATCCAAGGAGAAAATTATGGAAAAAGGGGGAAGTAGATGTCAAATGAGCCTCACTCTTACCTGAAATGGATGAAAGAGAAAATTGAACTCACATACAAAGAGTTTGGTGTAAAAATATATTAAACTCCATAGGGGAACAGGTGGGGAAGGAAGGAGGGAGATAAGTAAAAGGGAAAATGGCAGGGAGGGAACAGTCTCAAGCAAAACAAAATTTGCTTCTCCTGAAAAGGGAATTAAAAGGGAAAAAAAGAACTGGAAACTAAAGGAGTGCCTGTGTGTCTTAGACTACTGGGGAATGGCTAAACAAATTGTAATATATGAATATAACGGAACAATA